CCCCATTTTTTCAAATTGACTCTACTATCACACAGATAAACTAGAAATACTGTCAAAAAAACATCCTTTCCAAAAAACTAGTCGCGATTCACCTACGAAGGCGACCACAAGGATATTCATAAACTCACATAGATCTCAACGAGCTCTGTTGGATGGACACCTTAAAAACGTGGTTCAGTATGAGTGTGGATGAGTGTAGATGTCGGCGTAGGGGTGGCTGTTGGGTGACTGACATATTCAAACTCACATGGATGCACCCATCACGCGCACCCACCCAAACCCTCAAGACAAGTTTACGTCAGTAGTCCAGTGCTTGTCAGATATTGATGCAAATTCTTCTTGAACAAGTATGATTGACCGATTTTTGCATAGATGATATCTATTCATGTTGCTTCAGTTGAAACTCATTTTTTATCGATTAGAAAAATTATGAGACATAATTAGATTTATGCCTCTGAAAAAGGCTTCGATCAGTACAAATTTCTTTTTTTATCTGCAAAACCAATCTGATATGTATAGTTAACTTAGTTGACAAACAAATTGCGTAAAAAATATCGCTATTTATGTTTAAGAGGATAACTGTCATTCTATCGTGAATCTACGCTGGAATATAGAAGAAACGAAAATGGATTCGCAACACTTTCCTCACCTGTAAGCCACCTGAGGCCATTTAATAAGAGCACATTTTGTGTCGATGCTGAAATTTTCATTTCTGTGATTTACGAACCAGCTCACATTGCTTAAATTGCTTTCAATAGTGTGTTGGCAGAAGGAATGAGAAAAAAAAGAAATATACTGAAATATATCAATTTTCGTTGTGGATATAAACTCGAGTAAAAGGGAAAGAGTACACACGCAAAAAGTATAACTAGACATTTTCTTTTCATTTTCATTCACAACTTCTTACTGAGTATCACTGCATGTGACGTAGTACAGAGGAAAGATGATGTTTTTGTATGAGAATTTCATACTTTGTCATATATTGACATTTGTATTCTATCAATAGGCATGGCATCAGGATTAGAATCAAATCGATGTTCGATCTGTCAGAAAGAGGAAGGCAAATGCATGTGTGATGGATGTAAAAAGTACTTTTGTGTCAAGCATTTCGATCAACATCGCCAACAACTGTCGACAAAATTTCATGTTGAGATTGTAAGAACTCACGATGAACTTCTTGTTTAAATCAGCCGAATCAATCAACCGAATACTAGTGGTTCGAAACTTTTCGGTGAAATAGATCGGTGGAAAACTGAAACCTACGAAAAAGTTCATAAAGCAGCTGAAAAAGCTCGTCATCAACTTACTCAACTGCTCACTGAAGGGAAAGACACGTTGAAAAAAGACTTTGGAATAAAGACAAAGGAAATTCGTGATCGACGAAAAGAACTCAATTTTGATGAAAATGATATTGAACGACTTCAACAAAAGTTGAATCAAATTGAAATATTAGTAAATCGATTTGTTCGATCAACAGAAACGAACGTGGTCATAGTGACAAATGATCAAATCAATTGGAATCGGGTTATATATATTGAAAACAGCCATGCCAGTATGAGTAAGTAGAGTGAAAACAATATTTGATCAAGTATTCGAACTAGTTGCATTATTGACGAAATTGAGAGCATTTTCGTCTCGTTTTATAATCAAACTTCTTAAACATAAACAGATGTTCGTGAAAGTTCAATATTCTTCAAGGACACCTGTCCCTTTCGGAGGTTTCCCGAGAATGGTTCGACGAAAATTTATGAAATATTCACAACAACTATATCTCGATGTGTGGAGCAAAATTTTCTGCAGACTCAAAATTCCCAGATGCTTTTTCAGAAAGATACGGGAGTCGCAAAGGGTGTGGGTGTCCGAGAATTATAGACTCAAACTTACGTCCAGATCCATACACCACACCCATACCCATCCACATCCATACCCACACCCTCCCATTAGTTTCATATCGATGAAAATTTTAAACTTTTAAACTCAAGGAGTTAATTATTAGCATTAAGTTTTTAATTATAACTTGATCTACGTACATCCCGCTCACTTTAGTATTATCTACAATTAAATTTATTTTTAGCGAACGTCTCAGAGACAACTATTGTACACTAAGCAAACCAAAAACAACTGTATTTGTTGTTTCGTCATTTTGAGAATTGATTGCTAACTTAATTGATATCTAAACATTCAATTTTTAAAAATCTTATGTTCATCTGTTTATCAAATCACCAATGCGATTATATGATTCTTATTTTGATGAAAAAAATTGATTTAAAATAAGAAATAAGTAACTTGAAAAAGTTAAATTTAACATTGGTGAATAATTCAAAAAGGTTTTGTTGTTTTTAATAATATATCAGCTCCTTTGAAACTAAAATTTAACGTTTTCTTAATCTGAGAGACAACTTAAATTTCTTTTACATAGATTGTGTCACATTCGATCAACAATGAAATTCTCATTTGATACATATATATTCGAGATTTCCTCTTTCCAAGGATTAGTAGAATAAAAAATAAATAGTTAGTCAAATGGAAAATTATATATAAAGGGTATGCCAGAAGTCCTGACTCGATTTGTATAAGAAATTTTTATATAGAGAAACACGTGCTTGTAAATTTGTGTGTATTACGGAAAGATGGAGTAAAGCACGCTCCACAAAATGACTATTGATTGACCCCGCCAGCTCATGTAGTAAAAAAGTTATAAGCTTACAAATATGCTTTACAAAAAATAAAAATTAACTATGGACCAGGTCTATATGGTAGTGCTTCCAGTAAAAGTCCCATAAGTTCATCAAAATAATGGACTTTTCGATCAGATTTGTTTTGTTTTGATCAGAAATGATTGCTCGTCTCTACCTAGCTGCAAAATCAAAACTTTGATCACGATTCCTCATTCTTGCTCAGCGCATTATCGGAAATGAGGTTGTCAATTTTTGAAACTTGGATGTGGAGCACATCATCTTCTCTAAAAGAAAATTTTTTACACTCCATGAGAAAGAGTACATTTGAAATTACCAAACTCGGCTGAGTTCTCACTTTTGCTGTGCTGTTTTAAGGGAATAATAGAAAAGAAAAAAGTTTAAGCAAAAATAAGATACTAAATTTATTGAGTTTTTATATTTTTCGCCTCTCGTATAATTTGCTTAGTTTTCTTGTTTAAAACTCTGCAATTAAAGTTTAGCTATGATTTTGTAGAAGATTCCAAAGCGTTTCTACTTNTTACATTTCATGTCAAGTTATGAAATAGAGTAAAAATCGTGTAGTATCAACAGCTATTATATCGAGCGGCTTTATGACACGCATTCAAATGGATCGAATTGGTCTCCGTACACGTCCTGATAAAGATTTTCAATGGATTCTTCACTGTCGGGATCATTATTCGAAGTATTCTTGGGCATTTGCAATAAAAACAAAGGAAGCTCAATTTATTGCTGATCACCTGATAACGTTATTTTATCAATTTGGTCCATGTAAAATCCTTCAAATCAGACAATGGAAGAGAATTCACAGCTAATGTAATCAAAAATTTTTAAAAATACATGGCCAGGATTATCAATCATTAATGGGCGTCCACGCCATCCTGAAAGTCAGGGATTAGTGTAGAGAGGAAATGCTACATTATGTAATATATTAGGTAAATATATGGAAGATCGAAAAACAACAAGTTAGACCACATGTCTTCTGCCTGTTGTATATTCTATGAATACTAGTTTAGCTCGTGGTGTTGATACAACTCCTTATGAAATTGTATGTGGTCAAAAACCAAGACTTGGCTTTGATTTATGGGAATCAATAGATGAACAAGGTAACTGATTTGTTTGTTGCAGAAAAATAAAATATTCTCTCTCTAACTGAAGGTATTATCAACGAAGAAGATTTACCACCTGCTATTCTTGAACAACTTATGAAAGATAAAACTTCAATGTCTACAACTTACGATGTATCAAATACTGATGCTGTTAGTCAGCAACACTCAATTTCTTCCACTATCACCAAGCCCGATGCATCAACAGCAGATTCAATGCCAGAATCAGCCGCTTCATCAGATATAATTAATGATGTATGTACACAAGCAGTGGACTCGACTTATTCAAGCAATGAAGAAACTGATGAAATAACGCAACATGCAAACGAAGTTGCTAGTGATAACATAACATCAGCTAATTCAGCACATTTGGTAATACGTCGACGAGCAACAGAAAAATATTTATCAAAAGCAAACAAAAGGATTAAAGTTTATAATGAATTTATAGAAGAGTTTTCATCTGATTGTTCCATTGGTGATTTTGTTGGTATTAAAATTGATCGTACAAATACGGATCCTAAAATATTACCTGTAATTGTCTTTAAAAAAAGACGTGATAAAATTAAGGTCGCATGTGAATATGATATAATTGATACATGATGGTCATTTGATTCTCTCGTTAAATTATCTACAGTACCAGAAAAATTGATTAATTTAAACACAAGTCAGTTGAAAAAAAATTCAATTATAATCGCGTCGAAGTTATACGTTCGTGGTAGTGCTAATGGATTTACTTGTTCATGTAAAGGTAGTTGTAAAATAAAGCAGTGTGATTGTAAGAGGAATAGTGTATTTTGTTCTACAAAATGTCACAAAAATGGGTCTCTTTGTGTTAACCTAGGTTGTTAGAACAGAAATACTATTTCATTTTGTTGTTTTTTTGAATTTGGTGAAACTATTTTTTGTTCCTGCTGATTAAATGTGTTGCTTTATTGAAAATAAAATTTTTCTACATGCTTTACCTACATTTAAATATTATATATAATTTATTTCGAGATTAAACTAGTCAATTCTGAGATTGACCTAGGCGAATCCAAGATTGGCCTAGTGATATCTAGTCCAATCTCAGATTGGACTGGTTTTCACTTATTGATCCTAGAATGAACTGAATTTACATTAGGCCAATGTGAGATTCAAGATTGGACTAGTCCAAAGTGAGCATCATAGATTGGCCTAAATCCGACATTGGACGCCAACATATATTTTCCCACCTTATTATACAACTAGCGAGAACCCGTGCATACTGCACGGCTGTTTTATACTTTAACGCATGACCTTAGACATTTAACTTTTCATCCGGTAAAATACATACAGACACTCGATATTATGTATATAGAGAGATAGCCCCACGGCCTCATACTGTCATATCGCACATATTTTGTATAGGCCATGTAGCCTTCAACCTTATAGCCTTATATTCCTTGCAGCCTTATCTCCCTATTGCGTTACTCGCTTCAGGCCCTATGGCTATCACAATATAATAGCCCTTGATGGCCAATCAGTACCCCGCTAGGATAGCCCTTGAGGATCTATGAGTATCCCCATAGAATAGCACTTGAGAACTCATGGGTATCCCCATAGGATAGCCCTGAAGGACCTATGGGTACCCTCATAGAATAGCCCAGGAGGACCAAATGGTACCTTCTTAGGATAGCCCTTGAGGACCTATCGGTACCCCCAGAGGATATCCCTGGCGGACCTATGGGTGCCCTCATAGGATAGCCCTGGAGGACCTATGGGTGCTCTCTTAGGATAGCCCAGGAGGACCTATGGATATCCTCATAGAATAGCATTGGAGGACCTATGCGTACCCTCTTAGGATAGCCCTTGAGGACCTATGGGTACCTCCATAGGATAGCCCTGGCGGACCTATGGGTACCCCCATAGGATAGCCCTGGAGGACCTATGGGTGCTCTCTTAGGATAGCCCAGGAGGACCTATGGATACCCTCATAGAATAGTATTGGAGGACCTATGGGTACCCTCTTAGGATAGCCCTGGAGGATCTATGGGTACTCCCATAGGATAGCTCTTGAGGATCTATAAGTACCCCATAAAATAGGCCCTGGAGATCTCTCCCTTAGTGTCTTATTTGACCTTTGACCCGGCACAGACACACAGACAGACACACAGACACTGAACATTAGATATATAGATATCTTTTTTTATCGTATGGCTCAATGTTTCTCTCTTACCTGTTCTTCTCAGCACTCTTCGATGTTACTTTAACCTAGACATTATTCATCAATCAGTAGATACTTCCCAAATAAATAAAATCCATGATATATGGATAAATGGATATTATTTCCGTTCACTATTGTACGGTACCAGGAAAATTATTGTAGCTGGAAACACTTCAAATTAGTGAATCCTTTCCAATTATGCTTCTTATTTCATAGCCCTTCGCACAGATGCACTTTCGTTAGTAATTAAAAAATAAATAGAAAGCTACAATCAGCTTCAATGAAGAGCAGAATAAAAAAAATACGTTCTCCTGAGCGCATCGCCCTCACTCTCATGTTGCTATGCATCTGATACAAAAGGTTTAATAGTTTTCCATACACAGATTCCTGTTCTTAGGATTCTTCCACACTGGAACTCTGTGCAGAAAATTTCATGACGAAAATTAAGCCTCAAAACAAGTCTCGAAACCAGTATTTCGCATGCAGCCCTCCAATTTCGCTCAATAACTACCCTTGTAAATGGCACCATTCCATAGATAATTCACTTCTGCATCCAACACACGTGCTTAGAAAGTTAACACAAGTGGTAGAGCGAATCCAGACAAGAAATACACCCTAGATAGGAAGCTGGACTCGGTATTTGTGGCATAACCCCCAGTTTTTGCCCGATGACACTACTTGGTAATAGTACCATCGGATAGAGAATTTAATTCTGCAGTCAACACACCCGTTTAGAAACTCAACACAAGTCATAGAGCGAATCCGGACAAGAAATACATCATATACGTTATTGTTACAAAGGGAATTTTTGGGTATTTCGAGGAAAAGTGGCGGTTTTTTGCCCGATGACCCACCTTGAAGTTAGTACCATTTGATAGAGCGTAAAATTTGGCACCTAACACAAGTGCTTAGAGAGTTAACACAGGTAAGAAAGTGAATCCGGACAAGAAGTACTCGAATCTGGTGCTAACATTACTTACGTGGTTTAACTCTGTTTCAACTTAACTCACGATTTGATTGGTTAATTCAAAGTGAATTAAGAAGCATGATTAGTGTTTCTACATAACAATGCCATATTATATTGGTTAATTCACTTTGAATTAAGTAAGTCTGATTGACCCCTGAAATGTTCATATACAACAAAGGATATGCTCGTCTGTTGCATCTATTCGTCAAACAAAGCTCGACATGTTTGCTTTTTGACGATTGATATCTTTCAATATGTATGTGAATATATATGTAAATTGATTCAAGAATTATTCCTCGAAAGCCGGAAATGAATAGGTGGCTGCATACATCTAATACAGCTGCTCTAAGTGATTTCGACTATGGCTTATTCTGTTATTAGTCATGATTTCGTTGATGATTATGCGACAAGTACGTTATCGGTAACACAAAAAAAACTTTTTCTCTCATTTGTTGAGTTAATGACAATAGTAGTAATGCTTGTCTTTTCCCTTTCATGTCTTCTATTTTTGTCAAATTTTACTAATATCGGTACATTAGTGAGAACAAATACGGATAGAATCATTGCTGCTCACTATCGAATTTATTAGAAATTCATGTAATCCAAAAATCTCTAGCTCTCTTACACTGCAATCGCATAATCATGTAAACAAAAATACATGTCGTTGTCTATACAAGAGCTTTAGTTAGTTCAACATTTTGTAGCAACACATAAACTTTAATGGAAGGATATCATGACGAAAGCAGATGTATTAATTTATGTATTGATTAGAGATTGTTCATGTATATTACTTGAAAAATCAGCAAGGCTTGAGAGCACTTATGAGACGAATTATCACGATCTGTTCCTTTGTTATACAAATGATACTTGGCTGTCAGCACTTAAGGAGTGAATTGGCCGTCCAATAAACAAGCTTTATAAAAAGAATACAAATGATACTGTCATATCTAACCTAAAAAATACGATGTTGATGTAAGCAATGACTGAAAAAAATACACATAATATTTAAGTACATCTCGACAATACCACTTTGCTTTACACAATACAACCGACTTAAGATTAATTTAATCTTTTACCCGAGAGTTTTTCCTATATAAAATGACTTTCAAAGGGAAAAAGATTGCTTCTATGAAACGATATTTTTAGTTTTTCAGTGCGTTAATGATTTTCTTTACTATTTTTCTATGAGTTACCTTAGATAACTTGACTGTCTGATTTTTAATAGATTATTTAAGATCCAGAAAGGAGAAAAAGTGATTTCTAGGTAAAAAATCAATAAATCACCTTTTCCAGCTATAATCAGTAACTGATTTAGTTATGATTCGAAAGAAAACGAAATCATGTGTTTTTTTCGTATCTATAAATCAACTGATGTCATCTATCAATGTTAGATCTAAATTCGATCGAGATTTGAGTAGATTTCAAATTCAAATCCGTTCCGCACAATATTTCTTTTCTGACAACAATCATAAAGAGATTGCTTATATAGGAATCACAATATTCGAAGAGAAACTAACCAATGAACAACTTCAATATTTACATCAATGTAAGTATTCATGTTCTATTTTCATGATTATCAATATGGAACTACTTAAACTAGATTATATAATGAAAAAATATGTGGGACGAAAAGAAATTCGTGAAATTGCCAAACAATGGAATATTAATGATTTTGATTTTTTTATGGATTTAACAGTTAGTATACTTTCGATATGGCTAATCAATACTTATATGTGTTCTATTTACATGATTGGTTTTATAATCGGAATATAGTGGATATTGATCGTACACTACGTCGATATGAAGCGTGTAGAATTGGAGCTTAGTTTAAATATGAGTTTCTCCTGTGTAACACATTGTATATCTGGTCATTCTACTTTAATTGTAACATGCACCTTGTTTTTTGGTACTTACCCTCTGCAGAGTATTGATAAAATAAAACTTATAAATTTAATTAGCTGGTGCACCTGTCTCTTGAATAGCATGATTTTAAGGTTTAGAAAAAAATAAAAGTTAGAAATGCTTGTTCTTAATTTGGTCATATCAAATTGAGAGTAGCTAGCAACACATTTCATCTATGTCATAAATTCACTTCGATTTTCGTTGATCGATATTGCTCAATTGATATACAATTATCTTTAAAACACTTCTGGCATAAAATATAGTTCATACCATAGAAATGTTGTATTTAACGAAGTTTTCTGTGTAATATATACATGTATATGTTTTTAAATGCATAGAATAAGAGTATAGCTTATCTCTCGCCTCCTTTAATCTTTCTCTATTGATAAAAGACAGAAAAACGAAGGAATATTCTTTTCATTCAAACATCATTCTCGTCCTCAACAAAATTATGTTCGGTAAAAAAGAATTTTAATGAAAAGAAAAAAAAAATTTTTTTACAGTCTGATATTTAAATTGAAAAAATTAAATATGTGTAAATGTATTATTCGAATATATTAATAAGATATTTTGTACTAATATCATCAGATTCAAATTATTATTTATTACTTAATGTTTCGTTTGAATAGAATATGTAGATAAGTATTTATCATTGGTGATAGATCATCGAACAAAGTTGATATATTAAAAGATCGATTAGAAAGATATGCATTTATCTAATCTTAACAAATTCTTATTTTTTTAATTCATTATCATGATTAATAAACCATAAAATGAATGCATGTCGTATTTGATGAGAATCAAAGACGTCCATTATGGAATACTGAAATTAATAATGAAAAAAGAATTTGCTTTCTATCTACTTTCTTTAGTGATATTTACTTACAAAGTTTATGATGAAATTGACATTTATAGTTTAATAATTTTATTTGTGAATCAATAAAGTCGATCTGACTTCGCAAACAGCGTGCTTCGGCATCTTCGAGAACTACTACATCAGGTCGATGAAGAAATTGAACGAGCTGATTGTTAATAGTATCCAAATCATTGATCAATCCAATTTCTTTTGCTTCAATTCAAGAGACTGTATAAAGCGAAAACAAAAAATTAGAAAATATTTATGTAAGGTGTATTACTTGGTCCATATAATCTTGAAAAGTGTTGGAAGTATAACGATATTCCATGATATGATGAAGAAATTAAGGTTAAAAAAATTGAATTCAATAATTATATATTCAGTTATATAACTATTTAATCAAAGAAATGTAGAAATCTATAATGATACATTTTATTTTTGTTTTTGTGAAAATTTTCGATCTTATACGATCATTATCAACCAGTTTAACAGGACTGTATATGTTACAAAACACAAACAGAAAAAAGAAAACAAATAGTCAATCACGAAAAAGAATGGAAAAGACGAACATCATAAACAGTTACATTATAAACATAAACTTCTAAACTCTTATTATTGAATTAGAATTATCATCAGTATACATTCAATGTAACAATCGTTCAATGTAATAATAAATTCAATGTAATAACAATTCAATGTGATGACATTATGAAAATTAATAGTATCATAATGAAAATTAAGAACATAAGCGAAATCAATGATATGTTTAAAAATAAGTAACATAACAATGTAACTAAGGGTGTGAGTGTGAGTGTGAGTGTGGGTATAGGTGTGCGTATGGAGAAAAATATGACAACTACCCACACCCACACCCACACTCTGTACTTAATATTGAAGCAAGAATCATTTATGAAGAACTAGCCTCTGTTTGTGGTGATGAAGCGTCTTCTCTTGGAACGGTTGAAAGATGGTCTAAATGGTTTCATGAAGGTCGAGAAGATGTGAAAGATCAAATACGACCTGGTAGACCCATTACTGAAGCTGCAGATGAAAATATAGAGCATGTTCGTAGTCTCATTAGTGATAATCCTCATCTTACAGTAGAAGAGATACAAATGCAGAGCGGTCTAAGTCATGGTACTGTTCAGAGAATCATTTCTGGCCCTTTGAACCTTAAGCAAATTATTGCCCGTTATATACCGAAAAATCTGACCGCTACTCAACGAGCAGAAAGAATCCGGATTTGCAAAGAGAATTTAGAAAAGTTCGACAAAGATACCTGGTGTTTATACGATGTGGTGACAGAAGATGAATCATGGTTTTTTCATCAACAAATCGGTCGAAAAGCGTCCAATTGTGCATGGGTGGCGAAAGATGATCCTCCACCCACAGTAGTGCGACGAAATTACTATGCTCCAAAAACGTTAATGTGTATCTTTTTCAAGTAGATCGGTCCCATCTTAATCCATCGTGTTGAATCTGGACAAACTATTGATCATGAATACTATATCGAAAATTGCCTAAAACCCGTTATTGGTGAAATCAAGAAGTAACGACCTTTATCAGGCGCAATCAATTAAAATTTATCATGACAATAGCAGATCGCACGCCCACAAAGCTGTATCAATTTATCTGAGATCAGAAGGTTTGATAACAATATCACATCCACCTAATTCGCCAGATTTGGCATATAACAGAATTCATCAACTGTTTGAGTAAACAAGAGTATAAAAAAACGTTCGATAAATGGATTCAGCAAATGCATCTGTGTGCGGACAATGAAGGAGATTATTTCGAACATTCGATGAAATGAAAACTGGCTTTACTGCTTCCTATTTTTTTTCTGTTCCATCATTCAGTTATTTTGTATCGTTACATACAGAGGATTATGTATTAAAATAGATAAGAAAAAAGAATAAAGAAAAGATAGGAACAGAACAAAAAAAAATCAATGCAAAAGCACATGTTTAAAACGATTAGGCATGCACCGAGCCCGAACTTCCCGGGTTCGGTCATTCCCGGGTTCGGTGTTCCCGGTGTTCGGTTATTTCCGGTACCTAAAACATTAGATTTAGTGATTCATGTACTTTGGTCTGCATTAGGCATCCTTAGAAGCCAGGTATGACCGAACCCGGGGATGACCGTACTCCTGGAAGTTCGGGCTCGGTATTCCCAATATGCTCCTGGCTTCTCCGAGTGTCTATCAATGACCCAAATCAATAAATAACTAAATCCAGCATTTCAGGTACCGGGAATACCGAGCCCGGGATTCCTGGTCTGTACCCGGGTTTGGTGCATGCCCAAAAAACGATATGTGCTAAAATTATGGGGAAATACCATAGCGAAACATGTTTTTTGAGACTTTTATCACTATGATATTATACAAATAGTGATCAAATAACATAGAATGATAGAGCTTTTTTCTCTATCATCAGGCAAAAAAAGAAAATTTCTGAAAGACTTTTATAAGATTTTTATGAATCTCCGCCACTATTTATGGTATGCCCTAAGCACATTCAGAAGCAGTCAGTCATTTTTACTTTCCACTTTACCATGCGGAGTCACTATGCAAGGTAAGTACATGAAAATAAGTGTTTGAAATTCGAAAAGAGATGTACTAAACCTTATGTGAAACTGTTTTTGTCCTATTCAAATATTTTTCATGTACAGCTTAATACTGATTCGTATGACTACTATTCCGAGATAGTTTCTATTTCTATTTCCCAAAAATAGTTGACTCAAGTGTATGACTGTAAAGAGGATAATAAAAACCCTTTTCTACTCAGAAAATTCAAAACTTTTCATTTGTTTTTCTATCCAGAGTATTTTCTGTTCTTCTTTTTTTATCACAGTGGCTTCTCAACGTGGTAGTAATGTAGAGATCGTTAATTTATTACGAGTTTTAAACTTTTAAATTAGTCAACTTCACAGAGCCTCAAAAGACATTTTTTATTCGTCCTGTTCTGCATTCTGCAAGAGATTATCACACAGCTATCCTACTTTTCAGAACGTATTGCAGGACCAAGAGCCTTCCTGCGTCCGACCCACAGGACAAATTTTTCATTGCATTCATCAGAAAGACAAAAATCGTATAAATATGGAGCACGATGTCAAACATCATGCTATAACTGCTGTTCGTCTTACAATTCAACAATAAACGTTGTGTTGAACTTTTTGTCAAGAAAAATACTGTCCTGCTCCTGCATAGGCATGACTGGTGCAGGAAGGAACATATTATCTGCAGGACAAATTCTACGTTCTGCAGAAACCTGATCCCATGACGTTCTCTGGTGACAAATGTTCACGTTCGATGCCATGTACACCTTGTGCTTTGTCCTGTGCTCTATGCCAGGTGCGAGCAATGCGAATGAAATAATTTTTTCGTATGATTCAGAAAAATATAGAGATAGATTTGTTTAACATTTGACAAAGAATTTTAAAATTCGCATGAATTATCCGAATTTTTTTATGCAGAACATGTGAGATTAGAATTCGAGTTTCTCCTGAATGCATTCATCCACATAGGAGACCAAAACATGAAAGCAACGAACCAAGATAGAAGTCGACTAGCTCTGTCTAATACACACCCCACTTTTTCAAATTGACTCTACTATCGCATAGATAAACTAGAAATATTGTCAAAAAAAATTCCTTTCCAAAAAACCAGTCGCGATTCACCTACGAAGGCGACTAAGAGAGGATATTCATATACTCGCATAGATCTCAACGAGCTCTATTGGATGGATATCTTCAAAACGTGATTCAGTATAAGTGTGGATGAGTGTAGATGTCGGCGTAGGGGTGGCTGCTGGGTGGCTGACATGTTCAAACTCACACGGAGGCACCAAGCACGCACACCCACCAAAATCCTTAAGACAAGTTTACGTCAGTAGTCCACTGTTTGCCAGATATTGATGCAAATTCTTCTTGAACAAGTATGATTGACCGATTTTTGCATAGATGATATCTATTCATGTTGCCTCAGTTGAAACTCATTTTTTATCAGTTAGAAAAATTATGAGACAGAATTAGATTTATGCCTCTAAAGAAGGCTTCGGCTAGTAAAAATTTCTTTTTTTATCTGCAAAACCATTCTAATGTATATAGTTAACTTAGTTGACAAACAAATTGCGTAAAAAATATCGCCATTTTGCGTTAGTGCTGAAATTTTCATTTCTGTGTTTTACGAACCAGTTTACATTGATTAAATTGCTTTCAATAGTGTGTTGACAGAAGGAATGAGAAAAAAAGAAATATACTGAAATATATTAGTTTTCGTTGCGAATAGAAACTCGAGTAAAAGGGAAAGAGTATGCACACAAAAAGTGTAACTAGACATTTTCTTTTCATTTTCATTCACAACTTCTTATTGACTATCACTGCACGTGACGTAGCTTAGAGAGAAAATAATGTTTTTGTATGAGAATTTCATATTTTGTCATATATTGACATTCGTATTCTATCAATAGGCATGGCATCAGGATTAGAATCAAATCGATGTTCGATCTGTGAGGAAGAGGAAGGAAGATGCATGTGTGATGGGTGTAAAAAGTACTTTTGTGTCAAGCATTTCGATCAACATCGCCAGCAACTGTCGACAAAATTTGATGTTGAGATTGTAAGAACTCATGATAAACTTCTTGAACAAATCAACCTAGTCAATCAACCGAATACTAGTGCTTTGGAACTTTTCGGTGAAATTGATCGTTGGGAAACTGAAGCCTATAAAAAAGTTCATAAAGCAGCTGAAAAAGCTCGTCATCAACTCACTCAACTGCTCATTGACGGGAAAGACATTTGGAAAAAAGACTTTGAAATATTGACCAAGGAAATTCGTAATCGACAAGAAGAAATTGATTTTGATGAAAATGATATTGAACGACTTCGACAAAAGATAAATGAAATTCAAACATCATTAAATCAAATGAGTCAACCAACAAAAACGAAAGCAGTCATAGTGACAAAAGATCAAATTGATTGGAATCGGGTTATATATGTCGAAAACAGACACAACAGAATGAGTAAGTGGATTGAAAACAATATTTGATCAAATATTCGAGCTAGTTGCATTATTGACGAAATTGAGAGCATTTTCGTCTCGTTTTATAATCAAACTTCTTAAACATGAACAGATGTTCGTGAAAGTCCAATATTCTTCAAGGTCACTTGTCATTTTCGGGGGTTTCTCAAGAATGGCTCGACGAAAATTTATGAAATATTCAGAGCAGCTATATCTCAATGTGTAGAGCAAACTTTTTGCAGCCTCAATATTCCCAAATGTTTTCTTCAGAAACATACGGAGATCGCAAAGGTCAAAAATGATCAGAATTTCCCATCAAGCTAAAAATCTATACTTCACCTTTGCGAGATATAATTTATTATGATAATCAGAATCGTATCGGAATGCATATTTTTTTCTTTGAAAAATATCATCTGTAGAACTCAAAAGAAGCAAAATACTGGAAACATCGTCAAAAAACACTTGTTTTCTAGCCGTACTATTTTCTGTGCACGCTGCTAAATTTTGTAGGAACAACACTTTGAAGCGAAAAAAAATACGCACCCGAATTCGATCGAACATACCATGGGGGGAAAAACAGGGAGCGGGAAACTTCAGTATTTTGTTCAAAAAGTGATTTTGAGGAAAATGTAAAGAAAGTTGCTTTTGCTTTATATTTTAGCATTAAAATGTTCAATTTTCGAGGTTCTTACATGCAAAGTGATCGTTGTTTCTTCTTAAAAGTGTGTTCATTAGATAGAAGGCCTTTAGATCTAGATACTAAACATGAAAAAAAAAACAAAAAAAATGAAAAATCTGAAAATTGTGGGTCTAGAAAGGATAGGCACTTTAAGGAAACCTTCTATCGAGCCGTCATGCTATGAAAGTCTTTAAAGTCATATTTAAGTGCATTTTACTGAGTTTTTAATCATAATCGAATAGGAGTGAATACCCAATGAAAAGTATCCAGAATGCAAAAGTCTTGAGAAAAATAAATGCCTAGTATTGAGAACTAAATTGTTGATCAGGTGTAAGAGTATTCATAATCATTGAAAAAGTACTTATAAGTGAAATCGTGTATGACCGAATCATCATTCTATTAAAGGCAGTAGCTGCCTAATTCCAGTCCATATATAAATCAGAAGGTCAAACAAAATTGGTACTCATATTAGCTTGACCGAAAAAGTCAAAAACGCTGAATTTTTATCTCAATTGCTACTCTGATGATAGAAAGAACGCGATCACCTTGATGAGACCAAAAAAGTAAAAAGAAAATAAAATTTCATCTCGCTTATAATTTTTAAACTTCAAGCCAAGCTCTTAGTTTACTATCATCGACAGCGTGTCGGCGTGGGTCACGAAGGTTCCTCTACACGCTACGCAACGTTGACATCCACACCCACCCCTATGATGTATTTATCGAAAATCTTACCTATAGATAGTTAAAATAATTTCTAGAAGGGTGTTGGTGTGTGGATGTGGATAAGTGTCGATGTGAATTGCGAAGACCCACACCCACACCCCTATATATTTTAAACAAGTTGCTGATCTTTGTATATAGCTATTCTAATCAGTTTCAGATAGATGAAAATTTTAAATTTTTAAACTCAACGAGTTAATTTTTAGCATTAAGTTTTTAATTATAACTTGATCTGCGTACATCCCGCTCACTAGTATTATTTTCAATTAAATTTATTTTAAGCAAACATCTCAGAGACAACTATTGCATAGTAAGCAAGCCAAAAACAACTGTATATGTTGTTTCGTCATTTTGAGAATTGATTGCTGACTTCATTGATATCTAAGCATTCAATTTTTTAAAATCTTATGTTCATCTTTTTATAAAATCACCAATGCGATTATGTGATTCCTATTTTGATGAAAAAAATTGATTTAAAATAAGAAATAAGTACCTTGAAAAAGTTAAATTTAACATTGGTGAATAATTCAAAAAGATTTTATTGCTTTTAAAATATATCAGCTTCTTTGAAATGAAAATTTAACAACGTTTTTTTAATCTGAGAGACAACGTAAAATTTTTTTACATAGATTCTGTCACTTTCGATCAACAATGAAATTCTCATTTGATACAAATATATTCGAGATTTCCTCTTTCCAAGGATTAGTAGAATAAAAAAATAAATAGTTAATTAAATGGAAAAGGAGGAGAGCGGATAGGGTCATTTCCCGGCCCCTCTCAAAACTCGTTTATTTCTATCGGGCTTCAATAAGCATTCGATCCTCATCATATTTTTCAACTTTATTCCCAGAAAATGGACATTCATTATTTTGGTTCTTGGGGTCCCCCAGGTGCATGAAAAAAAAATTTTGTTTTTCTCAAGTCAAAACCAAATGAAGCTATAGGCTCAAAGGTGCTGATTAAGAAAACCGAAATGAAACTATTAGAAAATGCTTTCTTCCTTAAATGGTTCTGACCACTTCAGATACCCCATTTTTCACTGTTTGGATCCCTGTACAACTGTAGTTCACTGAAGTTTGATAGAAAATACTTTCTTCTACCCGAGATTTTGAGCGTTTCACGAATTTGAAGTCTTTAGAATGCAAAAATGTGATCTTTGAAAAGTAGATGGGGATTCTGAGACATAAATTAGCACTTTTCTCCATTTATCAATTTTTGTCCTAAGAACTTTTCATGAAGCGAACCTTGTCGCAACCTGAAATTTTGAGCATATGGGTAATATTTCAAGGTCTATTGACTGTGAGCTCAGAATAGAAGAAAAAGTTGTGCAACAAGGTCAAAAATTAGAAAGAGTAAAAAATTATATAAAATGCTGTGAGGGACCACAGCCACCAAAATAATGAATGTCCATTTTCTGGGAATAAAGTTGAAAAATATGATGAGGA